AAGCTCCTCTGTTGTTTGAGACGCTGGAGGAACCGTCTGATGGGGGAACCGTCTGATGGGGAACGTGGCTCGACCTAACACCAGTCTCTGTTTAATGGTGGATGAAATAAAGAAAGTGGTGGTACTTTATTTACTTTGATCAAGTGAACGTCGTGTTCAGAAGATAATTAATCCACCAGATAATTCAGAGGCGGTCTGTTCATTAAATTTAACTCTAGGAGGTGCGAGGCTTGTTTTCAAGCTTCAGACTGAACTGAACCAGCGGCTGCTGACGTCATTACGCTCTTGCGCGATGCTGCGTTCAGGACAAGCATGGAAAACTCACCACTCTTATGCCAATACGGTCGCAATGATGCATTTAGGTACCGAAATTGAATTGCATGAACATTCACGTGGTGGTTATGTAATACAGCGAATCGATAATAAAAAATCTGCGTCGACAAATTTACATAATCGACATCATCGATTATTTCAACTAATCGGTGCAGCCCTAATTTTACTACATTATTGTTTTTCTCCATTCATACATTTGCTACACTCCAAGAAAAATAAGTGAATATTTGCTGGGCTGTTATCACACTTTTCATCTATAGTCATGTAGAGATTTGACATTTCATCAGCAGCTGCTGCCATTTTCTTCCTAAACTGCTGTGATCGGATTGTGCGACGCTACTCTGAGCTGTAGGGGTCACCTCGAGTGATGAAACAAGATTTACTACCTCGAAGCAGGCCTCGGACAGGCCTGAGGAGAGGACAGGAACTCTGTCACAAACTGAACTCTATTTAGGCCATGACAGGACATTTCAACCCAGAAGAGAACCCTTCGGTTCTCTTAATCAGATAATGGACAGAACAATCTTTTCTGTTCGTGATTCATTTGTTTTTTTAACTAAGAATGTTTATGCATTTGTTAAATCAGGATAATGACTGTCACAGGAAAAGTGGAACCACTTCTACTCTTTTATCGTGCCTAAAAGATTAATTAATGGTATAAAAAATCACAGAGAAAATCATTACAATGTTTTCATTGTGTTTTTATGTAAATCATTGTTTTTATTTTACTGTGAACACAGTGATATAATTGTGGGTTTTTCTTGAGAAAATCTTTCATTTGTCTGGACTAACAGAATGGTTCAGACTGATTATAAAACAGAAATGTTAATTAATCATCATAAATGTTTTGCAGTGATTTCTCTTAGAGTCTATCAGAAGAAAAGCTGAAAAGAGATTATCATATTCTGTTGTGACAACCACAGAATTTTAGCCTTGAGCTGGCGCCACTGGCAAATCTCTTTATCTTTCTTTCTCTGACTCATCTTAACGCTTGAGAGCGGAACCAAAGTCGTCCGTTTCTATTACTAACACGGACGTCTTTGAGAGACATACTTCTTCTTCCTGGATGCCAAACTTGGAAGAAAAGCTGAGTTTCTCTCTGGAGAAGCCAGTTTGGCTCGTTAGGTCTTGCCCATGAGCTAACTAGGGAAGATCTAACGGCCGGGACAGCGGCACGCCAGCCGAATGTCCCACCCCAAGGCTTCAAGCCTCCCAAGTGTGTTTTAACTCCCGAGGGGAGATTTTATTTTGAAAGAATGAACCGGATGTACAACTTGAATCTTTCTGGCTTGGACTGAAACAGACGAAAAGTTACCTGAAATAACACCTTTCTCTCCAAGGAACAGTGAGCGAACCTATTAAAAAGTTCCCTGACTGATAGGAGGTGAGACAGTGACTACCCAGGGGTTGCTTAAGAAGCCATCACCAGGTAAAACTGATGTGTTCCGGGTGACGTGTCATGTGGAAATTGAGTGCAGAAGGGACGTGCTGATCCGGTTGGACACACTCTTTGATAAAGTAACATTAGTGGAACCCTACTAACCTTACTTTCTTCCTTTACTTTGTTCTTTATTTGCCGAAACTTAACCTGAAAGTGCCAGTAAAATTGTTTGGTTGTAACATCAGAACTGACGTTTTACTGTTCTATATAAGTAATCTGAGTTGATGTGAATTGAAATTCGGATGCGAGTTTTATCTCATTTAACTCTGACGCTTGTTATAGGAAATCCACAGTCAGGTGTAAATTATGATCTGTTCAATTTGTGTAAATAAATGATTGCATAATCTTTTATGAATCAACTTGAACTCGTCTGAACGTTCACTTATTGTGTCACTTTTCACTTCGCACAGTCAAGATATTAACAAGTAAAGAGAAATACCTTGGTAAAACTTTCCTCATAACCTTGTTTATGAGAGATGTAGGAAAAGCTTAAATCACTTAAGCCCACTCCCTACAGAGCGTTTGCTCGTCATTTCCTCCCGCTTAGTTATTTCTATGAATTTGTGTAGGCTTTGTTTTTAGGGTCATTAACAAAGTTTGTGTACTCAGACAAGTAATATTTGGGGTCACAAGTTTTTGCAATGAGTATTTTCTGCGTCAGAAGATAGAAAGTTTGGGAACCACTGCTTTAAAGTGTCTCACCAGAGAACAGGCTGTACCATTGTACAGACGTCAACAATTTTTGTTTAAGAAAAACAACACCTGGCAGTCTTTCACTAATCTTCCTACTTTTTAACTAAAATCTTTGGTCTGATCTAACAACAGTTGAGGCATTTTGGTGATTTTCACCTCATGCCTCTCCACGTGTCTGGCAACATTAATTGAATGCACCTGCTGATTGGACRCACCTGCATGGGAACTGGCTCATCACTGCTGGCTTTAAAGGGAAGACTGAAGGATCAACTCATCGCTGAAGCATCAAACCGCTTTTGGTACGATCTCAGCCTGTGACTCGTTCTGTGAAACCTGTTTTGCCTAACCTTCGTGTTTTTTTGTGTATTTACCTGTCTTCAGAAATTAAGAAAATCACCCTGGAACTGTTCTG